GTCAATACTCTAAGTTTAAAAAAATTAAAAATTACAGTTTCAAAGCTGATAAACCCTGTGAATTCTGAATTGTGTTTATGATACTTTCTTATGGCTGTGTCATTTTAACTAGTAAACAGAAACACCTATCGTTTTCTAGAACAGCAATGAACTATGACAATTTTGAATTATGTGAAATATAGAAGAAAACATTTTTGCTTACAATGATACTTCCTATCCAGCAGAATTATAACATTTTAGCTTAGAAATGGCCTTAACCAAGCCCCATATATGTTGCTTTATGCAATGTTATGCACCCAGGAGAATTAGTGAATCACATCCTTCCAAATATTTCACGTATATTCTCAAATGTGTTATTTTAAGAGTCTTCCTTCTCTTCCTTTTGCCTCTTGTTTTCCCAAAGTGTAGTTTTAAAAGTAAATTGTTGGCAAGTTTGTAGATAGTTTTTAAACTGCAGTGATACGTGAGTAGAACAGCAAATATCAAATCAGAAATTATTCCTTACATTTCTATTCCCCCAAGAAAGAGGAACTGCAAGATGGAAAAAGGCCTGTCATCATCAAAACACATATGGAGAAAATAATTTCCCAGTGAGAAGATAAAATTCTGTGGCTGTCTCTGCAGGTTAAACTAGGAGTGCAAGATTTGTTCAAAAGACCTCGTACGCATTAGCAAGATGTAAAAAGCAATCAGATTATTTGATCAATATGTGAAAAAAGAAAGCACACATACATGCCAGTGGAACTTTTTCTTTGGTTTTCGAAATAATTTATCATTATGTGTTATTTTCCTTTAAAAAAGAAATGGAGACAATGAATCACACCCTACCACTCATCTCAGAAAGGAATTCCCCATCTCCTGGTGACCTGTGAGAAAACAGGTCACAGGTTATAGGATGGTTTCTCTGCCCCTTACCAAGAGTAAGAATCTGCAGGGCCATCATTCCTCGGTATGCGTGACTTTATGGCGTTTCCATGCCTGTGGAGAGAATGCAAGATGAGGCCAAAATAAAACATGATTTTTAGCTAGAGTTCCAAAAGAAGGTTACTGCCCTCTGCTTAGTAATTCTTAGTAATTACTAAATTCTTAGTAATTCAGACAAGAAGCCCAACAGAATACACACACAGCATATAGAGAAGCCTTCTGGGCCGCTTGCCAGCAAGACACCCCGCGTTGGAGCAAGTATCAGCAGTGCATAGGTAGGAGACTGTGCAGGGCTAACTCTGAAATTCTGTTGATCAAATTTCACATTCTAAAATGTATTCATTAAAGGACAGACTCAAGGAAAATTTTCCTTTCCACAGTTCTAAGAAGTAATCTAACGTGAATGCTGGTTTTGTTATCCTTTGCTCTAGTTTTAAACAAGTAACTTGAAAACGTAATGATGCGCCCTAAGATAGAAACAAATTAAATCACATGGAGAAGGAAAAGAGAGGAAAGGAGATGAATTGAGACTTGTCCAACTATATTTCAGTGAGTCTTGTCCCATACTGATATGGATCTGTACTTAATGACTAATTAAAATTGCTGCCAGTTAGGAGAGCAGGCCGAGGGCGGCCTGGCAGCCAAAGGCAGAAATGCGTAAGTGTCCACTTGGAACACTTGGCCCTGCTAGCTGGAATTTCTGTGTGATTAGAGAAAACTTCTTTTCATCAACCAATAATTTCAAGGGTTTTCACAAATACAGGTGTGAGATCTAGAATAGTAATAGCCCCTTTATCTAGCATCTGGAAAAAGTAAGCATTACCGCCTATGGGGATTTTTGAGATGGCTGAGCATAGCACTCTGAGTATCACAACGTCAAGAAAAAAAAATCACCAGTTTTGATTGAAACCCTTCACAGTAGAGATGATTTTTTCCTAACTTCTTCCTGTCTGTTTTGCTAGTGATTCCCAAATTTTATTTCCAATCTGGATGTCTTCCCTGAACTCTAGATGGCTTTCTCACTTCACTCAGACCAAAAGCCAAAGCTCTTCCAGTGGCCTAAAGCTTTCCACTAGCCAATCCCACCATCCAGGTGACTTCATTACTCTCCCTGCACTCACTCTATTCAGACATGCTGGCCTTCTTCATTTTCCATGAACATGTCAGGCACACTTCTAACTTTCCATGTGCTTTCTTTTCTGTTTGAAATATCTTTCCCTGAAATATCTGCATGACTGTCTCCTTCACTGCCTACAATTCTCTGCTTTTTTTTTTTTTTTTTTTTTTTTTTCTGAGACCGAGTTTCTCTCTTGTTCTCTTGTTGCCCAGGCTGGAGTGCAGTGGCATCATCTCGGCTCACCGCAACCTCTGCCTCCCAGGTTTGAGTGATTCTCCTGCCTCAACCTTCCTGAGTAGCTGGGATTATAGACATGCACTACCATGCCCGGCTAATTTTGTATTTTAACTATTAAACAGAAACACCCATCATTATTTTCTAGAATAGTGATGAACTATGACAATTTTGAATTATGTGAGATATAGAAGAAAACATTTTCTTCTATATCTGTGTTTCTTCTATATCTGTATTTCGAGGCTGGTCTCAAACTCCCAACCTTAGAAGATCCACTCGCCTTGGCCTCCAGAAGTGCTGGGATTATAGGCGTGAGTCACCGCGCCCAGCCAATTCTCTGTTTAAACATGATATTCTCAGCAACTTTCCTGACTATCCTATAGCAAATCCCCCCAGTCCTATTCTGCCTCCTTGTCTTATTTTTCTCCATATGCTTATTACTAATTGGCATAATATGTATGTATGTATTCATTCATTCATTCATTCATTATCTTATGACCTGAAGATCTCACCTATGAATACCTGAATAAAATATTTGACATTAACTCTGGGATCTCAGATAGACTTGGAATAACTGAGATTGACTTATAAATGATCTCCTAGTAGAGTAGCATTGTATCATTCAGAAGGAAACTGCAATATGTCTAACATGTAGTCAAAAGGTGCTTTAGAGTACCCAAAAATAATGTGGGAGTTCACTCTGGGCTGCCTACATAATGAGCTTGTGGGACCAGAGTTTCACTATTTTTTCCAGAAGAGTGAATGAAACTCCAGATTGTCTTCTCTGGGACTAATGATGCCCAAGATCTCTCAGTGCTCAGTAGCTGGTTTTCTTTGACAATTCCTAACACAAAAACCAGCCAAGAAGCCATCAAAGGGAGTGGTATGGTTTGGCTATGTCCCCTTCCAAATGTCATCTTGAATTCGCATATGTTGTGGGAGGGACCTGGTGGGAGGTAATTGAATCATTGGGGCAGGTCTTTCCCATGTTGTTCTCATGACAGTGAATAAGTCTCACAAGATCTGATGGTTATATAAAAATGAGAGTTTCCCTGCACAAGCCCCTCTCTTGTCTGCTGCCATGTGAGACGTGCCTTTCACCTTCTGCCATGATTATGAGGCTTCCCCAGCCACGTGGAACTGCAAGTCCAATAAACCTCTTTCTTTTATAAATTGCCCAGTCTCAGGTACATCTTTATCAGCAGCGTGAAAACGGACTAATACAGGGATCTAATTAGTGTGCTCATGATTTCCATATAAAAAGGGAGAAATACCAGAGAAGTGAGTTCTCCCCTAGACAGACACACCTCCCATGCATGGCCAACCAAATACCTTGTCCCTGGCCTGCTTTGACCCGCTCCGCATCAAGAGGAAATCTGGGAACCTGTGGCTTCTGCTCCTTGATGACTCTTGGCTTGTAAGTTTCTGCTTTCTTAATATAGTTTATTCTTTAATTCATGGTTTTGAGGAGTTCCCAAGACCATCATCAGGTGTGATAATTTGCTAGAAGGACTCACAGATCTCAGGAAATCTGTTTATTCATGGGTATGGTTTACTACTACAAAATGATATAAATCAAAATCAGCAACAATAAAAGGAGCATGTGGCAGAATCAAGGAAAGCCCAGGCACAAGTTTCGGCTGTCCTCTCCTAATGAAGTTGCAGAGATGGTGCTTAATTCTCACAGCAAGGATGTATGACAGCATGTATAAAGTGCCACCCACCAGGGAAGCCCCCCGAGCCATGCTGTCCAGGGATTTTATTGGGAGTCCCTCATGTGGGCATGCAGTGCCCATGTGGCTGACCTTAGTACTTCAGACTCCAGTTTCTCCAGAGGTCAGATGGTTAACATATTACCCAAGGCCCAGACCATAAATGACACTGATAGGATAGACTATCTGATGTGGCTCAAGTCCCCAGGAAAGCACACCCTTTTATCAAGCAGGATGTTCCAAGGGCTTAGACGTTATCTCCCAGGAACCATTCAAAACCCAAGACTTTCTTTAGAATGTGCAGGATCTGAGCACCCACTGAGCATTCAGACCTGCTGGGCCAAACTTTTGATGCACATATACTGTGTAATTCTGTCAAATTCATCCTCAGCCTTTGCACAATAGGTGATGACTATTAAGAAACCAAGCTCACATGATATAAAGATAAATCTGCTCATTCTTTTTTTTTTTTTTTTTTTAAGACAATCTCACCCTGTCACCCAGACTGGAGTGTAGTGGCATGATCTCGGCTCACTACAACCTCTGCCTCCCAGGCTAAAGCAATTCTTGTGCCTCAGCTTCCCAAGCAGCTGGGATTACAGGTGCCCACCACCACGCCCAGCCAATTTTTGTGTTTTTTGCAGAGATGGGGTTTCACCACATTGGCTAGGCTCATTCGGACTCTCAGAAATGGAGCTACTTTCCATCTCCAGCTGTAGAAGAAAGCTAGCTCAAACGATATTTGTTGTGGCAGATTAATCAACAAGAGCATGACAAGTTCATTCACAAACCGTGTAAACTCAATTTTCTATAATCAACATGTTATATAATCAAATGAACAATAAAAAATTTCTATAGAAAACATATCCTATGTATTTCTGAGAAATAAACAAATTCTTTAAATTGTTTATAATAGAAGTTTAATTATGAAAACAAAAGAGCATAAAAATTAAACATACAGAAGACTTTTATCCTTCTTGGATAGATTTTTTGTTTATACTATTCCTGTGACTTCCAGAAATAAAATCTTTAACTTTCTCATATATTGTGGCTGAAGAGGATAATACCAGAACTAGATTTTGAATTCTTAAAGTATATGGCAACAATATGACAGCAATATTATTTAAGAATTTTTATCATGTGCAGTTGTAATCTACCCTTTCATAACTAAGGTTAATCAAAACCAAATTAAGTCCTTAATTTCTGATTTCCACAGTGTAGATAACAACAATTTTTAGCTTTGACTAAAACAGTGCAGGTGGAGAGAGGAACAACATTATTAAGAATCAAAGATACCAAAGATATCATAGAGTTATTTTGCAGCTTCATGTGTGTTCATTTACAGAAGTTACTTTTGAAAATGTATAACAAAAATCAAATTTAATTCACATGTGCAGGTAGACAAGGAAGGGCTATGGAAGAGGTATGAATTTTATTATCATATTTCCTCAACTCACACTTTGGAATACACTATGCTTTTTCAAAAAAGAGGAAAGATTTCAGCTTTAAGTGCCCACATCATTTAATTGAATCAAATCCAGAAGTATTTGTTTGTTTGTTTGTTTGTTTTTAAGGGAAAGCATAACTAGGAATTTCATCTCTTCCAGAAGCATGAATCAGAGAAGTTGTTAATCAGTCAATTAAAAAAGCCAAACAGAGGCTTTTCCCTCTGAGCTTCCAATCCAATAAAAAATTACAGATGGAATCCAGGCAGTTTGGAGGGATATAAACCCCTAGATTCACCCACAATACTGCCCACTCTTTTTATATTTTTGAACATCAACCAAAATTAAAATTACCTTTTCTGGTGTGCTGGAAGGGATATCAAAGCACTCATACTGATCTCGACCCATCTCCACAATGGTTTTTGCTTTTCTTGAGTAATCACAGTAATCATAAGCCCACTATCTATTTATCAAGGCATTAAATGAGAGAGACAAAGTAAAAAAAAAAAAAAAAATGCAGTCATAGACTTTCAAAGCTGAAAGGAGCATGAAGTAAGTTTGCTTTAAAGTGAGTGTAATTGTCTAACTTTACAGAAAACTGAGGCCCAGAGAGGTGAGGTGATCTCACATGCTCTTTCACTTTATTTGTCCACTTGATACATTATTCTTATCTCCCCTATGCTGTGTGCAGAGATAACAGCCATCAAGGCGTGCAGTCTCCAGTGGCAGAGAGAGCCGGGAGCAGCTGAATCTGGAGACCAGAGCTTTCATTTTCCATTGGGCACACATTCCGCAAGACCAGGGTTTCTCCTGTTTGTGTTACGATAGGAGATACCTAGAGTGTTTGTTAGGCCCACACATGCCAGGCCCTACCCCGGCCCACTGAATCTGAAAGCATGCCAAAGGAGCTGTGGCTCTACCCTTTTAACAAATGCACAGATGAGTCTTATCACCAGGCACCAGCAGGGCTCCCGTCTGCTGACCAAGGTCAGAGCCCCGCTTCTTTCACTGGCCTGTTTCAATGTCCAGGCTCACATCCCCATTGGCTTCATGGTCCTATGTCTGACTGTTTAGGTAAGAACTGGCATCAGCATTCACAACCCAGAGTGAGCCACAGAATTACCTACTTTGCTTTAAGCAAAGTAAGAAGCCCAGGTCTACCCCAGACCAACTATATTAACATCTTTCAAATCTTTTTTTGAAATACCAGGAGGTATTCTGATGAACAGCCAACATTGAGAACCACTGCCAGCCCTGGGTCCTTTCTGAAACCTCAGGAAGGATCCTGGTCCATAATGTGGTAAAGGAGAGGCTTGGGAACACTTTTCAAAGACAGGACACACAGTGTCTCCAGGTATCATGACTCCTTCCATGTGCCTGCCTATCAAGGTGTTATAAAGCAGCCTGCTCTGAGACAGTGGGATTCACAAATTTCCCTTCAAGACAAAGCAAAACAAAGGAACCATCATGTCTGTAACTGTCGTGCTGGACTGTGCATTCCCCAAACCATTGCAGTCGTGCCACATCTCTGCCATCCCATAATTTCACCTAAATGCCTTTGCACTTGTCTACACATCTCTTCAGGCAGTGCTGTTACAGGATTGCATCGTGTTTAGCTGAGCCTCACTCCTTTGCCCCATGTCCCATCATCCTGTCCCGATGTCATCTGCTCAGGCTCAGGACACACACACATACACAGTAAGCGCCACGTGATCCACGTGCCTGCTGTCAGCCCAGAGCTTTCCCAGGACCCCGCAGAGCCTCTTCTTATGGGCATACATAGGGTGGTGGGCGTGACCTTTAGGAGACAGGAAGAAAACAGACACTTCCCCACAGTGTCATGGCCAGGCACACTGACTTCTGAGGAACCCAAGTCACTCAAGACCAAAGAACACGGGTGAGTAAGTGATGTCCCATCAGCAGCTGCAGCTCACACCCTCAAAGCCTGTATCACTTTACACTTTTCATAATCTATGTCTCTTAAGAGTTTCGCCAGGCATGGTGGTTCATGCCCGTAATCCCAGCATTTTGGGAGGCCGAGGCGGATGGATCACCTGAGGTCAGGAGTTCAAGACCAGCCTGGCCAACGTGGCAAAACCTCGTCTCTACTAAAAATACAAAAATTAGCCAGGTGTGGTGGCGGGCACCTGTAATCCCAGCTACTCAGAAGGCTGGGGCAGGAGAATCACTTGAACCTGGGAGGTGGAGGTTGCGTTGAGCCGAGATCATGCCACTGCACTCCAGCCTGGGTGACAGAGCGGAGTTTCAAGAAATACCCTGATGGTACTCCAGTTTGCCTTTTATTTTCTGTCCTGTGCTGAAATAAGGAGTGAGTCTAGAGGCATATAGGAAATCAGCTCTCTCCTTGCAAGTAGATTCCTATGGCACTACTAAAAAAATCTGCATAGCAAGCTTCATGCTAATGGCTTTCAGTTATGCTTGCCTAATGATGCCCAAGCTCTTACAAATTCATCCTCTTTTTATTACTGTGCTGTTCTTTAAAAAAAAAAAAATCAGTAATACTTTGGATTCAACATGTAACTAGACAGGAAACTTAAAAGAAACACTTGTAGAAAGTTAACAAGGTCAAGATTGTTCCCATTATTGTTTACAATAACTTTCATGTTCCTCTTAATTTTATTTTGTTTTCTTGAAATATAGGAAGGGGTTGTATTTTGGTATTCTTGGATTAGTTACAACTAAGACAGTACCTCAAGGGTACTGGTACTTCATTGCACACTAGCTGGGTATTTTGTGTTTCTCAAGTATATCTTACAGAGTACTGAAAATAATTCTTTTGTGGAATGAGAAAATCAAGAGCATTTGGATACTTAAGTGGCAGATAATAATGCCATAATTTAGTATTTAGTATCTTCATAGTGGTTTAATTTAGCAGCTTTAATTTTTTTAGACCATTTCCTGACTTCATCTTCTCTTTTTCACCATTGATACCAGAATCTCGGTGACTCCATCTAGACAGAGGACTCCCCCTAGCATATGAGAAATACACCCCAGTCCAGCCTCTGGGCCTCCGTCTCCCCAATAATCTCAGGTGTTGATACCTGCATGTGCGTTCCAGTAGCTGAACCCACATTCCTTTAATCTTCCTCTGTTTTTAATGAACGGCTCTCAAAATGCATATTCAGTATATGCTTTGAGCCATATGAAATACACTTTCAAAATGCAATATTCGTTGCCAAAAGAAAAAGGTTTAGTTTAATGAATCTGCACAAATAGTGACAGCATTCCCTCTCTTATCTCCTTCCAGCACAAGCACGACTTTATTGTGAAATCCAGGTGCAGTCGTGTAGTCGCTGTGTCTTTCCTTACTCCGGAAAGGCAGTCTATTAACTGAAGCCCAAGAAGGGAGTGCATTTCTCTGTTAACCATTTATTAAGTCAACAAGCTAAGTAATGACTACATTTTTCTTTCTAATGCGCCTGCAGTATTATGCATTTAGCAATATTATTCCTTGAACAGATGTGTCTTTTCACAGTCGTCTTCCTTTCCTGTGAACACAGGATTTCTTCTTAATTGTATGCTTGTGAGCTTGCAACTGCTCTGAAAGGTGCTTCTAAACACACACTGAGATCCCTCCGTGCTGAGAGCCAAGTGACATGAAAACCACAACATCATCAAGAATGGGAGCAGCCAGCTCCCCACATCAAGCACCCAATTAGCTCGTATTCTTTGGCTAAATATACTCTGCAGCCAATCCAGTCACCTCAGTGCTTTGATTTCAGAAGCTTTAGAAATACCTGGAGTTACTTGAATGTGGCAGTATTCAAAATACAAAAGTTAAGGAAGAAGCATTTCACAATCAGCCAGCAAACTATAGGACTTGACAGCAAAGACATTGAAGGTTCCATCAAATTCCTTCCACGTTCGCATTTTGAATAACTAAGCACATTAACCAGGTTTGTGCTCAGCACTTCCCTTTATCAATAAAAAGGAGTATTCACAAAGAATCAATATCTAAAGCACATCGGGCAACTACTACGCTTTTATGATTTCCTCAATGCTGAGTGTTAACAAAGAAAACCTTGCTACTATACTTTTGAAAGACACCAATGGAAGCTGACAACCAAATTGATATCATTTTTTTCTTATAAAAAGTATAATGAGCTCTTGGGTCACCTTCAAAATATGGTCACATTCTTTCCCTGGAGTAGAGTTACTGTGGGATCAAGTGACTGAAAAGGCGAGGAGAGGAAATAAAACGATTGCTCAGCAGGACAAGTGTGGTGCTGCTGTCCTCGCCTGTGTCTCTGCCCACAGCAAGGTCATGGAAATTCAGCGTGAGCCCAAGTGGTTCTTCAGCAGCAGACACTCATGGACATGATCCTGGCACTCGCCGGTGTTTGTCTGACAGCTGCGTGTGCTTCAGCCACGGCTGCAGTAAGTGACCTACTGGGTTCTGCGGAGGAAGCCTGGCCCTACCATTCCCCATTGAGTCAGGAGGTCAAGTGAGAATTCCACTGATGTCTTTAAATAGTCTTGGCTGCAACAAGCTAACGTGGGGGAGGATTCTGGAGTGTGCCCGGGTGTGCCTGGCAGTGATAGGCAGGTCCCCAGTTGCTGCTGGAGGGGGAATTCGGAGGAGACTTCCTTAGCTGCCTCCAAGTGACACTGGTAAGGTCTGTGTGCAATGGTTCAACAGAAGACCTCATGCACAAATGTGCTAATGGAACTATGGTATCTGGTGATAACAGCAGAAATTGGCTTCCTTCTTTTATGAGTGGGAAAATTGAATTGGGGTCTGTTGGGAAAAATCACTTGCTCTATGAATAAGCTATACGGATCCACTTTGAACAGCTTTTAGAAAAAGCAAGTATTTTTCACAGTAAAATTGCCTAAGCTCAGAACCTGAGAGTGAGCTGGCTACTGCCTCAACGCTTTGCTGTTCTTTCCAAATCAGGCAAGTGCAGAGGTGGGGAGGAATTAGGGTTTGATGGCTGCAGGGAATGAAGGGGTTAACTGATTTATCCCAGCTGTGCTCTTTGCTTACTGTTCTCTGGTTACTGAGACTTTGGAGCTCAGTCTAGTCTACGCCCTACAGTGTGTTATTCTTGCCGCAGCCCATTTTTTGTATCTTTCTTGAGCAGGGATCACATCTTGCTGCACATCATAGAAACCATGTGGGTCTGTCTCCTCCTCCAACCTGGGAGCTCCGTGGTAGGAGGAGCAGGTGTTGTTCTTCTCAGGTTTCCCGCCCAGTGTCCAGACTGGAAAAGGTGCTAATAAATATAAGTTACATTGAATGAAACTAAGAATACTGAGAAGTTATACAAGTCTTGGCAGCAACCCCAAATGCTAAGTCTTGGTATAGTTTGCTATAACTTTGTAGACAAATGTGCCAAGAAATCAGAACAATTGGCTCTTCGTAGACCTGAAGGTACTTGATTTTCTTCAGTGTCATATTTTCATTCTGATTCTTTAGTTCTAAATCAATATTAACATGTGGCTCTTGGCTGCTGCCATAGCAGTAAGGTCCGGTGACCTTTGGTGCCGGAACTCTGTCACTGCTTGCCCTGGTGTCTGTATTTCACTAACAGCTGTGTACTCTTAAAATAAAAAACAAGCTTCATGTTTTTATAGAGCCTTTTTTCCAAGGAGCTTTTAAATGTCATTAAACTCACTTTTTAAAAATGTTAACATGGGAAAGTCAATATTACCCTCCTCTAAATTGTAAAAGGGTAATTACTTTTTTGCATGACTTGTCTATGTCTTTCCCCCTCTTTGCTGCCTTTTGATCATTGTTGGCCAAGTTATCCCATTTAGTAGTTTATCTCTGAGAGGGCAGATGTAGTCATGGAGAAGTGAAATTAGAATGGGATCATCTGATGATTGTCTAGTGTCTAGCAAAGAAGTTCAAGGACATGACAATGAGTGGAAGATGACTGGGAAGGAAGGTTGAAATACACATTAAATCAGTTCATATTTATTATCTGAAAGCCATCCTTCTACCCATTACTCACCACCAGACATAAGCATGAGTGGCTTGGTTATTCCTCTACAGCCGCATGAAAGAAAAATTCCTATGATTGTCCCCCAGAACTCAAGGAGAAAGCTCTGCCTGTTTTGGTCACTGGGGACAGAGCCCACTGTGGTTTGCCTTTTGGTCCCAAGTGATGCTTCATGGAGGCTGATGGAGGAATGTGTCTTGCCGTTGCCACCTGGCCACAGGTTACTGATTCAAGGGTAGAAACTATCTGAAACCAGGTTTCAGCACCTCATACTGTACTTGGCACACAGTACTTAGCAAATATTTGCCTTTTGAATTACATGGAATTCAGACCTGTTAGGTGTCCACTCTCCCAAGGGCTGAATCTTACTGCTCCTCAGAAGAATCAGAACTGTTAGTTCTCTTTGGGGAAAACCAACCCCCTTTCAATTTATGTTTAGGATGAGATGAACATGATAATCCAGAGGTTATTAAGAACATACAGAGTTAAAAGCAAACACCTCCTTAACATGGATGTTCAACAGCGACTTAGCAAATATTAACAAAAGCATTGCCAGACACTAAGGGTGAGAGTAGAAAGCTGAGACGAGAGAAGTACCCCGGCTGACCGAGTCCAGGTGAGCTGCCTCCCATCCAGGCCTCCAGGACCCACGTCATGTGTGTTTTTTGTCCTTCAGGTAGCCGAAGAGCATCTCCAGGCCCCCCTCCACCAGCTCTGGCAGAGGCTTGGATAAAGGGTTGTGGGAAATGTGGAGCCCTTTGTCCATGGGATTCCAGGCGATCCTCACCAGTCTACACAGCAGGTGGAGTTCGCTCGGGAGGGTCTGGATGTCGTTGTTGTTGAGGTTCAGCAGCTCCAGGCTGGTGACCAGGCAAAGCGACCTCGGGAAGGAGTGGATATTGTTGGCCTCTGCGATGAAGATCTGAAGGCTGGTCAGGTGCTGGATGCTCTCAGCGATGTTTTCCAGGCGATTCGAGCCCACGTGCAAGAAAATCAGTTCCTTCAGGGAGAACACACACATGGGGATGTGCGCGAAGAGGTTGTTGCTGAGGTTCAGCTTCCTCAGTCTGGAGAGGTCAGCGAAGCACGCAGGGAGCTGGGACAGGCAGTTGTGCGACAAGCTCAGGACCTCCAGCTTTCGGCACAAGCTCAGCTCGGCCGGCACCTCGGTCAGGCAGTTCATGTTGACAAACAGGACCCTGAGGCCTTGCAGGAGGCTCACTTCTCTGGGCAGGCTCTTCAGGCGGTTCCCGCACAAGTTCAGGACCACGATCCGGGTCAGTTTCCCCACCTCGGGAGGGAGAACCCGGAGCTGGTTGTGAGACAGATTGAGTTTCTGGACCTCGGACAAGCCCCACAGAAAGTCGGGGATGTCTGTCATTCCTCTGGTGACCAGGCTGAAGCTGACGTGGTGCATGCCTCGCTTCAGCAGAGACCGCGGGTCCCTTCCCGGGAGCAGGGCATCGTCCCACGGGGAAAACTTCTGTCTCCTCCCCGTGAACAGTATCCTCTTGGGGCCCTTATCCTTGGAGCTGGCCCTTGACTGCCTGGCCCCCATCGTACCTTCCCTTCTATTCACTCTCCTCTGCCACCTCCCAGCAGGGACTGTGTCCTCTCAGCTGCTAAAAGCCAGGCTGCTGCAGGCAGGGAGCCTGCGTCCGGGTGAGAACCAACTTGGGACTAGGCGGTCCTAGCGTGGAGAAAGCTGCCCGGAGAGTCTTGATCAGGCCTAGCAGGTATCCGAGACAGGTCCCTGGGCGGCTGCAGGAGCTGTGCCTGTCCCCCAGCGTTTAGGTGTTTTTTCTCCGAGCAGCTGGGCTGTAATGATATACTTGTCCAGGAGGCTGCTAAACTGCTCGATTCCCTCTGAATGCCACAAGGCAGCTGTCACTGTCACTCTGCCTGAGTTTTATTGACCGGGTACATGCAAACAGGTCACAGGAAGGCTGCATATAACTTTACTCTCTCAGCTTTTCTTGGGTGTCACAATTGAGGAGGGTGATTAACAAGCCCATGTCTAAAAAGAAGTAAAGTGGAAAAACAGAGCAGGTCACACGAGCACCGGCTGGTGGCAGGATTGCGGGAGCTCAGCCAGACAACTTCACAGTGAACCTGGGCTCCGTGCTAGCGACAGTTATGTCTCCAAAGCTAAGAATCTGCAGATGATCTCGTAGGTCCCCGTTCCAAACCTGGATGAACTGTATGTTTGTGAAAACATGACAAAAGCAGCCCGGATACCTGGAATCGTCCAGGTCAAAGGTTTTTATCCTGTGCTTGTCAGAGGTGATTTAGTGAGAAGGGGGTTGGGACGGATCTCAGCCCCTCACTCGCATTTCAGCCAGAGAAGCTCTGGGCTCATCTATCTTACAGAGACCTTCTGTATTTAGTAGGATGCGCTTTAAATGTTTGAACAGCCACTTGAGTGGCCACCTCAGTATGGTAAGCACGGGCCATGCATTGTCCTGGAAGGATATAATGAGGCCCCCCTCGCTACACACCATTCTCTTTCTCTCTCTCTCTTCTCCTCCCTGTCTTTTTATTTATTTTTAATTTTTTATTTATTTCTTTTTCTTTCTTTCTTTTTTCTTTTTTTCTTTTTTTTTTTTTGACGAAGTTTTTGCTCTTGTGCAAAACTGCTCTTGTGCAAAAGGCTGGAGTGCAATGGCGTGATCTTGACTCACTGCAACCTCCGCCTCCTGGGTTCAAGTGATTCTCCTGCCTCAGCCTCCCAAGTAGCTGGGATTACAGGCGCCCACCACCTCACCTGGCTAATTTTTGTATTTTTAGTAGAGACAGGGTTTCACCATGTTGGCCAGGATGGTCTTGACCTCCTGATTGAGGCAGGCGGACCCGCCTCGGCCTCCCTTTTTCTTGAATTAAAAAAGTTAACTTATACCTTAAGTTTGCACAGTTAATTGTTGGTGTTATGGGCTGAACTGTGTCCCCTCACCCTGCCCTCAGATTTCGTATGCTGAAATTGTAACTCCCAGTATCTCAGAAGGCGCTGGGTTTGTCGATCGGGCCAAGTGAAGACGTGTGGAGAAGGCAGCCACCTGCGAGCCAAGGAGAGAGGCCTCAGAAGAAACCAACACCTTGATCTCAGGCTTCCAGTCTCCTGAATTGTGAGAAAAATACATGTCTGCTGTTTAAGCCACCCAGTTTCTTAGAGCAGGCCTGGCAAACTAACATAGTTGGGGAGGAGGCGGACACACGTCTGCACAGTTGAAAAATCCTAAAAATACGTAGTGAGAAGACAAGGGATATCAAGGTGCTGATCTAGGTTCTGAGCACAGGGCTTGTGGCCCTTGGCAAGGGCTGGTTTGGCCTGGAAGCGTGGGGTTTTTACTGCTATGTGTCCTGGAGACCCCTGCTGCTCCTGGGACCCTGACCTCACAGGGATGTTGCCACCAACCCAAGAGTTGTCACTGGGTCCTAGCTGGGTGCTGCCTGGGGAGCCTGGACGTCCATCCACACCCAGGGTGCAGGATCTGACCAGGAGGAGCAGCAGAGGTAGAAAATCCACACCCAGGGTGCAGGATCTGACCAGGAGGAGCAGCAGAGGTAGAAACGAGGGGAGGCCACTTCTCTCTCCACACACCATTTGAAAGAGATCTGACCCGTCTGACTGAGTCAGCCCCAGGGATTCTGGACAAAGGTGGAGACTTTGCACATGCTTTTTATGAGGCACTTGAGTGTTGTAGTTAACAATTGTGGTGGCTTGCGTGGGATCAATGTGGCTACATTTAGACCCTAAGTTTTTGGAGCAGACCATGCCTTATATATGTAAATTTCACATGGTTCTGTTAAAAAAAAAAAAAAAACAGAAAAAGAAAAGCTAGCTGTGCTTCCTCTTTCCTTCCATGAGCCTGAGAAATTATGCTAGAGTACTTGAAATGTGGGGAATTGCAGTACCTGGGATGATTTGAGAAAAATATCAATAACTTTCTTCTTGTGGCAATTCTCTCTCTTCCCCCTTAATACATTTTTTCTAATAAATATTTATTGAGCACTTATCAATAGCCAATATTCATCAGATGTTTACTTATGTAAAAGTCACTGTAGCCCTCACTTTATATGCAGAATAGGTATTAAAATTATCTCTATGTTACAGATGAGGAAAGGAAGATAGACAAAGGTAAGTTACTTATGCAAAATCAACTCACTGACCCAAGATCAAGTAACTAGTCAATGGGAGAACCAGGATTCAATCTTAGTTGGTCCGCACAGAGCTCAGACTGGGAACCACAAGAAGACGCTGGTCTTATCTCTGTAGAGAAGCAAAGCAACTCTGGCTAGGACATGGTCCCTTGCTTTCAAGTGCCAGGGTGTAGGATTGACAGAGCACGGGTCAAAAAATGACTACATTACTCCCTGCATAGAAGTAACTGCACAGGGCCAGGGGTGGTGACTCACGCCTGTAATACCAGCACTGGGAGGCTGAGGCGGGTGGATCACCTGAGGTCAGGAGTTCGAGACCAGCCTGGCCAACATGGCGAAACCTTGTCTCTACTAAAAACACAGAAAATTAGCTGGGTGTGGTGGCAGAGAGCTGCAATCTCAGCTACTCGGGAGACTGAGGCAGGAGAATCGCTTGAACCCAAGAGGTGGAGGCTGCAGTGTGCTAAGATCGCCCCACTGCACTCCAGCCTAGACGACAGAGTGAGACTTTGTCTCAAAAAAAAGAAAGAAAGAAAGAAAGAAAGAAAGAAAGAAAGAAGAAAGAAAGAAAGAAAGAACTACACAGCTAGATAGCAACCCTGCTTACCTTATGCCAGCATAACCAGGAAGAGCAAAAGTTAAACTATCATTCCAGAAAACTTCAGAGTGATGGATTTAGCGCCTCCAAAAACAGTTCAGGTCTTCTCCAGAGAGGTTCTCATGTATCAAATGGACTAGCTGAGTCACTAGCTGACTTGTTTTCTTCTAACTTTTTGAAATGTAAATGCTGCCCACTCAGTGACTGTCAGTTATCCGGTCAGCACGTAGTTCTCTGAGAGGACATGCCTTGTCTCTGGTCTCAGTTTTCTCCTCTATGAAATGGGTCATTTGGAGGGGATAATGGCCGAGAGCCCCTTTCCCAGTCTCCCAGTCTGATTCTCACTACAGATGAGGCCACTTGTGAGAAAGTGAAAGTCACATTTAATCCCCTTTCTGGTAAAAGGATGCAAAATCCAAGACAGCCTTCATTTTTGTAACTTTAATGTTCGTCCTGGGGAATAAACACTAACAAGGAAATGTTGTTGACTTTGGGGTTCTCTATACTGTGTAGACCACACATTTGACCTTTACCAAAAGAGACTTTTCAGGGCTCTCTGAATGGAATGCAGCTTGAAATAACTCTCAGAACATTGTTGGGCAATTTTTTGAAATTCCAGGGCATTGTAAGTAATGTGATTATATTTAAAACCTAAGGAGCCTGGAGAATAATTGAAATGCATTTAATATGGCTGACATGTTTACTACACTGCTGTATGTCCAGCTGATTGTTCCAACATACGAAAATCAATATGGATTATTTCTTTAAACCTAAGTAACATAAAACTGAAATAATGAGAGTGTAAAATAGTAGGTTATGAAAACATCTGAAGCTACTCCTGAATTCACACTAACGGAATATCTACAGAAAAGAATATTTTTTATTCTCACTATGACTTTTCAGCTTATGTCTGTACATCATATGTTAATTTCAGAAGAAAGAAATGTGTACCTCTAAATAGTTTATTAAAATAAACTTTCTACTGTTTAAAAAATCTAAAATAGGCCAGTTGCAGTGGCTCACACCTGTAATCACTTTGGGAGGCTGAGGCAGGCAGATCACGTGAACCCAAGACCAGCCTGGGCAACATGGTGAAACCCCATTTCTACAAGAAATACACAAATTAGCTGGGCGTGGTGGCGCATGCCTGTAGTCCCGGCTACTCGGGAGGCTGAGGTGAGGGGATCATTTGAGCACTGGAGGGCGGGGCTGCAGTGAGCCATGATCACACACTACACTCCAGCCCAGGTGACAGAGCAAGACACTATCTCAAAAATAATAATAATAATTAAAATAGAAAATACAGAAAAGTATGAAAAGAGACAATCCAGTTAACATTTTGCATATATAAAGCTAGATCTTGTACCTATGCATATTGGCTTCTATCTGTTTTCCTTTACCACAGAAAAAAATTTTTTTCAAGATCTGCCTTAGCCTAGGTTTCCTCAAAAGCAGACCTTCAGGCAAAAGCTTATGGGGCTAATATTTTATTAAGGAGCACAATTGTGGGTAAGCAAGAATGAGGGAGACATGGGGAGGAGCAGCAGGAGGGGGAGCAAGCACAAGTGATGTGTTCTGAGCTGCCACATCTTTGCATCAAACACAGCCTGTTGCTAGGTTTTGCAGAGATCTGCAGAGAAGCTATATTAAACTATTGTAGCTCAGAATGGTCCATGGTTAAGCATCTATGAAATGCATGCAATAGTAAAGCCCAAAGCACATAAAAATAAAGTCCCTAAATCATGGTTATTGAAGACATATGGCCCATAGTACAGTACTAGGACAGAGTAAGAACTCTATCAATGATAGTTACTCTAAAAATGGTAGCTATTACACACACACACACACACACACACACACACATGCCCCTGGAGTCATTGAGAGAACATTCTCCATGTGTTTGATTTTTATTTTGTCCTTCTTTATGAACTTTACACTTTCTTTAAACCCAATCAAACCTGTAACTCTGCAGCATCCCTCATTTATCTCCCATTCATCTTCCACGCAAAACTTTAGTTAGTGCTAGGAGCTGTTTGAGACACTTTCATACATTCTATCTGACACAAATAATATTTGGAAGATTGATATTATTAACCTCATATTAACTATGAGGAAGTTGAGCCTCACTGAAGTTAAATGACTCTCCAGGTTGCAAAGCAAATTACTACCAGCATCAGAATCAACATTCAGGTCTTCTGATTCTGACTCTGGCTCTCTTT